GACGTGTTTGAGAGAGGCGGGGCATAGAGGACCTACAATAATGTACAGTATTTGAAAAATAATGTTTTTTGAACATTAAAGCATGTCAACATATTCTGTTACACCAAATACACAAAATAATGATCTTTAAAATAGCATCATATGACCCCTTTAAGAAAAAGCACCAAAAACAGTAGTCCATATGACTTGTGGGCTATAATTTGAAGTCACATGACACATGGAGTTTTTATTCACTGATCACTAGAACGTTAACTTTTAACTCAGAAATTGGATATTTTGATCAAGTTGTATCCAAATTATCCAGATGGGTTTAGAATAATGTAGAGGAAATAATGACAAAATTTTACATTTTTGGGTCAACTATATATCCTTTGAAATGCCCTAAAATCTGAATGTTTCTCTCTCCCTTCCTTCCTTTCCTGACTAAATAATCAGATTCTCACAAAAACACATTTCTTCAAGGCACTCATTTGATAATGCCATCATTTAAAAAACAAAACAAAAAAAAAACAAATATGGATACAAGTTCTTTAATTTAAATAGACAATTGTCTAATTTTGCATGTTGCAAGTTATGAAATGAATGTATTACTATAGAGATTATGTATGAGGAAATGACACAGCTGGAGGGAAAAAAGAGAAAGACGACTTTCTAGTTTGTTCTCATCTGTGTGCAAAGTAATTTGATCATCTTTATCCAAGCTAAACAGGTTTCGATCACAAAAGGAGACTTCAGGGTACAGCAGAAATTAAAGAAAAGCTTTTAAGGTGTGTTTTCTCCCTAACATAAGAAGCCCTGCTCTTTTAAAACAGCTAAAACAAACACAAACAAGTTTTACCACAGCAGTAAACCAGAGAAGAATCGCTGCTGATTTACATGAGATAGGAACGCAAAAGGTGCTACTATTCAATACCTTCTTAATTCAACAAAACAGCCAGTACAAACAAAAATGGTGGGAGGGCATCCAGTCATCTTTAAACACAGTTCTTTGGGATCATTCCGAAGGCCACAGCGGTAAGAGACGGACATTGGTCTCTGTACTGGAGAACTGGACAATCAGCATTCTACAGGCTCTGTGTGTGTGTGTGTGTGTGTGTGTGCGTGTCTATAAATGTTGTGCATCAGGACATTGTGCTTGTTCTCTTTCAAAAATGCAACAAGACGGATGTTTGGGATATCATCAACAGTCTGCAGGAACAGTGAACAGGAGTAGTTTCAATGATCCTCTTGGGACAAAATGCATAAGCTAGTAAATGGAGTAAGGTCTGACTACACATTCCAGGATAAGTAGAGTATAATGGGTTAGTGATTATAATCCCTTTCACCTGTGAGAATACAAATTGTCCACGGCAATAACCGTTTTAAAACACAAACCCAGAAACATGCACCTGCTCCAGATTCAAGCAAACTCAAGTTACAGTGACCTGTTCCAGCTCATTTGTGTTTATATGTGTGTGCCGAGACCCTGAGTGGCTGCTGTCTCACACTTGCATCTCAGAGCTGCTGGCCAATCCCAGTGCCTGCGCCTCCTCTGGCGTAAGACCATTCTTCAGTGTTCTTCTTACTGTAGAGAGAAAAAAAAAAAGAAATGAATGAGAGAGCGAAGCGCTGTTGAGAAAACGCATGATACAAACATATTACAGAGAGATGAGATACAGAATTTTAAATATTTAAACCCCCTATTATTATTATTTAAAATGATAGTAAACACTTCAAACCAATACCATAATATCAATAAATCACCACATATCGCCATTATCAATTTTCAAAACAAGGATGATTAAAAAAATGTATCTGAAAAAAAAGAGTAATTTAATGTGTTAAAAAATATGTTCGTTTTAAATGTAATTATTGCTTAAAATTTAATTAAAAACCTATCTAAATAGGTTTTAAACCGTAATTATTTACAAAACATTCAAGAAAATGATTCATTACACTAGCATATATTATACACTATCGTTTTTTTTTTTTTCTTTCAGCAAGGATGCATTAAATTTATCAAAAGTGACAGTGAAGACATTTATAATGTTACAAAAGATAAATTCTGTTCTTTTAAAATTTCTATTTACCAAAGAATCTTGAAAAAAGTGTCACCGTTTCCACAAAAATATTAAGCACAATAACTGTTTTCAACATTGATAATAAGAAGAAATGTTTCTTAAGCACCAAATCAGCATATCACAATGATTTCTGAAGGATCATGTGACACTGAAGACTGGCATAATGGCTGCTGAAAATTCAGCTTTGCCATCACAGGAATGAATTACATTTAAAAATATAATAAATGAGAAAACAGTTATTTTAAATTGTAATAACATTTCACAATATTTCCATTTTACTGTATTTGTGATCAAATAAATGCAGCCTTGGTGAGCATGAGACTTTCCAAAACATTTTTTTCCAAAACATTAAAAACAACTTCTTTTAAAAACTACATTTGTTTCCTGCCTGAGGCCAAGAAATGAAAGTATTTTGATGCTACACTCCAAACACCCCCTAATCCAAAGCAAGGCAGACAGTTAAATTGAGTTCCAAAAGGGACGAATCCACTTCTGAAGGGCACTTTGGAGTGAGTACAATCATGGCTGCCATATTTAAGTGTTGGCTCTGCAAGATGACGCAGAAGTGTGTTCCAAAGAACAGTTTTTGGTCCCCTATACCCTTCATCCCTTCAAAACTCTTGAGGATAAACTCATAGGGATGAGCCTTTCAGTACGAGTTGTGTGGTTCTCGCAGACTCACAGGATTTGCGGTTTGCTCTGGAGCGTCTCCTCTCGCGGGGCTGTGTGCGCTGACTGGGGACCTGAGTGGCTGATTTCACAATCCGTTCCATGATCTCATCCGCTGTATCATTTGTGCAATTAGAAGTGTCTTCATTTGCAGCAGACAAAAGTGCCGTATGGCCTGGAAACGAGACACAAGGAGAGAACTGGTTTCAATTGTTTTTTTGTTTCAACTTCAGACCTTTAATGTCAAATCAGCATTATCTGTAGCTCTAAAGATATGAATATACCTCGAGTGGCTCGAGTGCGTGTGCGGAGGCCGGGGAGTACAGAGGATGGACTATCGCCGCTCTGCAGGCTGGTACGAAGTACAGCAGTCATCTGCTCATGTTCAGCTGCGTTCTCCGTGTAGCCCAGGCCCTGCGGCTGACACTCCTGACCCTCCAGAGGAGTTCCTGCAAACTTCCCACTCTGAGGAGAGACATAATAAAGAAATCAATTCATCATAGAGAAATAAAAAAAAATTACACTCAGTGGAAGTAGTTGCATTTCTATCCTTATTTTGTTTGGTTGTACCAAACATTACTGGTTTCCATATTTTCGGCATTTAGATTCACTTCAGACAAATATGTGTTTTATATAAATATGATTCCAATATATGATTAACAGTAATCTCACCATACTCAAATACAAAAAATACACATCACCCCAAAACATGTCTATTCATACTGCTTTAGTAAATTATTCACACATTAGTCGCTTAATAATGCATCAAGACTCAAGTGAAAACTCTGTATTGACATGACATTTAATTAAGAGTTGATTTTAAAATAGCTTCACATCTGCATCAGCTTTGTTCAACATCATGTTACGTCTACAGTAGTTTAACATGCTCTGATCTTCTGTTCAAATCCACATGGGGAACCACAATAGTTGCATACGATAAGAAACAATAAGAATATTGATCCCTGAGTCCTCTAGATACAGTACAAACTTGCATATGCTTTGGAAATATATGCTAGACATTACAGGTCAGTGGAATCACAGGAAAAAAAAAACGTGAAACCCGTCCATGCACAAGCGCAGAAAAGCACACAGATACACGCATACCTCATCATCCTCTTCCTCATCACTCTACAGAGAAGAAATGAAAGAAGTCACATGGCAGAGAAGATGAGCAGGAAATGTTGGGTTGAAAAACGTTTTTGGTATTTGGTTTGGCACTTCAGGACTCAAAGGTTTCAAAACACATTCCAAAATGTACTACCCTGAACTTCATTCTAGAGCACTTGAGGCAACTCTTTAGGGTTTTTATTTTATTTGTATTTTTTTTTAAACCTGTCAAGAATATGTCCAGGTCATATATTACCCTGGGGGTTAAAATGTGATATTTTTGGGATAAAATGTGACCTAGATGTTTTTGCTGGTTTAAAAATTGTTTTACTAAATGATATTCAAAATGATCATAAAAACAATAATTCAACAAGAATCACCTTTAAAAAATGGAAACGACAAAAATGCATTACAATAATGAGAATTTAGGGGGCATATTTGCCCCCTAACTGCCAATAAACAATGTCACAATGCAAAACTATTAATTTACTTTAACTCTTTAAATGACCTATGCACATTTTAGTGAGATTCACCATATTATTGCATGCGCTTAAAAAAATCTAGGTTTCAGAAATATAACACACGTCTCGTCTCTACATAATTCACTTGGTCTTATTGTTTTGCAGCACCATGTGTAACTGAACTTCCTCCTCTACCTCAGCTCTACCTCTACAGAGCCAGAGCTTACATTCACCACTCCTACAGGGACATCCAAAGGTTTGGATTTTCACACAGAGATTGAATTAGACACCCCTCTTAGACTGAGGAAGACCTCCGCCAAGCATAACATGCCATGAAGGGCTATCCTGGCTATGACATCTCCCATGAGAGGCATTAAATTGGCCTCCTGGAGTAACAAATACCCAGGGCAAGTCCAGAGCTGCAGAACCCATGACAATAGACTGCTTGGTTTACAATGTTTTATTAATGTAATGCAAGTGGTGAGCGTGTTTTGTGGCTATTCTGAGCACCCTGGGGCAGACTAAAGAAAATGGAACATACACACGACACGATAAGAATCAGTCTTCATTGGTCTCAAGTGTGAATGAGACACTGGAAGCATCTGAAAGTATAATGACTCCCTCTTGTGGTGCAAAGATGAAGCACAGAAATTAAGCACCTGAGCAGTCTGAGAGAAATGAGAGGGGAAACAAGCACAAAAGAGCTGAGGGTTCCTTTCTGTACATGAATTATGGGACAAAAAGTTTACGACAATAGAAACGTTGTTTTTAAATCTGAGATTTGCTATTTGAGTCAAACTTTTGAGACCCCAAACAAAGAAGATGTTAGTTGAAGCAGGAGAATAAAGGCATAGTTATTTTACATCCTATTTTATTTTAATCATCTGGTTTTTGAATAATCCACTTGTCATCTGTTGTGTCAATGGTGTTATTAGCAGAAATATATTTAATCAGGAGAAGATGCAATGGAATATGTTCACCTAAATGGTGCTGAAAAAGTTTAAAAAGGATTGTTCCCGGAAATTAACAACATTTTTAAAGTATTTATTAATCTAGGTAAAACTGATTTATGCAACTTAAAAAGTTACAAATGCATTTTATAGATCAACATCAATCTAGATTAATAATAAAGGCTGTAAAAATTGCTGGTTTCCAACATTCTTCAAAATATCTTCATTCGTGTTCAACAGAAGAAAGACATTCATACAGGTCTGGAACGACATAATGGTGAGTAAATGAAGACAGAATTAAAATTTTCGGCTGAACTATCCCTTTAAACTGATCCTTGTGGTAATCTTGTACTACAATTGTCCAGACTCACCTCTGTGATCATTTTGCCCCGTGTCTTGTTCCTCTCGCGGTGATTGGCTCGTTTCTGTTTCTGCTGTAGCACTCGCTCTCTGGTGGTGCGGTACTCAAGTGCAAATTCACTCAGAATCTTACTGAAGCGGTGGATGCTCACCTCTCGTATCGAGTACGGTGGGTGGCCCAGGAACAGCAGGAATGAGTGAAACCTGTAGATCAGACACACAGGGACATCACTTTAACTGATCTTCAGACATCTCTACGACACCTTGGTTCAGACAGAGCAAAAAGATGCTGATGCTTTTGGCGTATACACCGTCAGAACCACACACAAAAAAAACAAAATTCAATCCACATTTTTGCAAACCACATTCAAATGTGTTTTTAATAAAAAACTGATAAAAAAAAATGTCAGTCTGAACTATCAGATCAGATTTCAAGCATCCTTTTTCATTCTCATAGATTAGATTTGAAAAACAAATCGGATGTGTGCAAACAGCCTTAATGTGTTCAACTATTTTTAAGGCACCTGTTTTTGATGCGGCGATGCACAATTTTAAGGATGATAATTCTTTCTGCACAGTCTTTAAGGAAGTCCGACATGCGCTGCTTGAGGGCTGGTTTCATTTCGTGTTTGGCAATGACCTTCAGGTGGTCCCAGGATGCTTTGCAGCGGCGTTCCATCTGACATAGGTTTTCTTGCAGCTGGTCGAAGTCAACCTGAAGAAGACAGGACAACCGGTGATCATCAAAGCCATCTCATGATTGGTCCGTTCACTTCAAAAGCAATGCTTCACTTTTAGCAACAACTCATGGAATTGTGAAGCCTTGATTTCTTCCTTTGTACATGGCACACTGTCATTGTTTGTACATTGGGTTGCAAAACTTCTGAGACGATATTGAATATCGGGAATTTAAATCTAATTTAAATCTGGAACGAAACAGAAAGTTTTAGTGCTTGAAATATTTAAAACAAAAGAAATGTTATAAAGACAAAATAATATTCTGCACTATTTATAGGTCACTGATTACATTTGTGAAATTTTTGTACAAAAGGTCAGGTGTTCTTGCTTCCACTGAAGCACAAGATGCTCTCTCTCTCTCTCTCTCTCTCCTTCTAGGTGTTTCATTGCATAGCAGTGAGTGTACATTCTCATAGCAATCTGTGAGAGTTTTGATTCCTTTCCCATTATTTTCTTGCCCTTTCTGTACCACATTAAACATAATGAAAGACCCACCCAAAATTACATTTTGGAAAAAAACTGAAAGTCGACAAAAAACAGTGGTGATGGTGCTGTAAAAGTGCTATGATAGTTCTGCTAACCTTAGCTGAGCGAGTAATGGCTCCAATCTCAGAGTAGAGGTCTGAACTCTCTGGAAACTTCTCCACGACGAGGGAGCAGACGTGATGCAGTAGAGACTGTTTGTGAACGGTGTCCTTCACCTCAGGAACTTTCTCTAGGTAACTCAGTTCAAAGCCTTTAGCCTGAAAACACAATTACAGAAATAAAAAAGACCATGTCAAATGTGCTTAATAAACCCATGCATTGAATATGATAATGTATTGCTTGTTTGTTTTTAGGAAGCCATATATACAGTATCTCACAGAAGTGAGTACACCCCTCACGTTTTTGTAAATATTTTATTATATCTTTTCATTCAACACTGAAGAAATGACACTTTGCTACAATGTAAAGTAGTGAGTGTATGTATTGTATAACAGTGTAAATTTGCTGTCCCCTTGAGGGGTGTACTCACTTCTGTGAGATACTGTATGTATAACATTTTTAAGCAAATGCAATTTTTGATTAATTAATTACTTCATGTGCCGAATAATTCATTTAATTAATTGCACATAAATTTTGGCTGAGAAATTAACCCCCAAAAGATAATTTGTAATTTAGATAATTTAAAAATCATTAAACCATGGATTCATTCAGTAACAAAACACTGCTTTTTAATTAAACAATTTTGTTGATCAAAACAGACAGTATTGGCAATGTTTAACACAATATTAACTTTTTGTTTATTGAACTTGTTTGAATTGTAAAACTCATATAGGGTCTTTTTTTTCTTTCTTGAATTTTATGGGCATATAACTGCATTCTAATAGGATACATGTGTTAAATTTGTTAATAATTTGAAAACCAAATCACACCAAATTACCATGTTAAATCACATTATAATATATAAATTAGCTTATTAATATATAATAAAAAAAAATAAAAATAAAAAATATATATATAAAGCACTCTAATACTGCCACTGTATTGGCCTACATAGATAATGTAAAAAGAGGTGTT